AAAAAAAAGTGTATGTGATTTAATGGACAGCAGATTTCAGAGCACTGAGACTTCACAGTGAAAGCGCTGGCAGAAACATTGAAGAGATTGCTGAGACATGTGTGTGTCCTCTCACCTCATCTTAGCGTGGACAGTGAGGGAGTCCAGCAGGTTCATGGGTAAGGGCGTGACGGAGCCGGACGCCATGCAGTTGGTGCCGGGCAGAGTGATGCGCATGCTGCCGTTCCCGTAGATGGTCTCCACCAGGACGCCCATGGGCAGCGTGAAGCACTCGGAGTTGGTGGAGTACGCGTTACACAGCAGAGCGATCTTATAGTCGTTCATCGGCAGACTCTTACTGCGCAGACTCTGCTGAAGAAACCTGAACACACACAGATCAAGCAGGGGTGTGTCAGAGTGTGTGTGTGTGTGTGAGAGAGAGAAAGTGAGTAAGTGAGTGTGTTTGTGTGTGTGTGTGAGAGAGAGAGTGCGTGAGAGTGTGGATGTGTGAGTTTGAGACTGAGTGAGTGTGTATGTGTGTGTGAGAGAGTGAGTGAGTGAGTGAAAGTGTGTGTGTGTGTGTCCTACTCATGGTGCAGCTTGAGCGAGTGTGGGATGGGGATCTGGAGTTTGGAGTTGTCATTCTGAGCTTTGCGGTTCAGGTGGATCCAGATGCAGGTCATAGCGAAGGCGTGAGTGGACTGGGGTTTGTTGATGTCCGGCACTGGAATACACTACACACACACACACACGCAATTCAACATGCAGTCAAGAAGCATACAAGAGAAAGTGCTTTTCTGTAGTGCAACAGAAAAAACATGATGCTTTTAACAATAATTCGGAAACACTTTACAATAAGGTTCATTAGTTAACATGAACAGAGCTTCTACAGTGTTTAATCTTTGTTGATGTTAATTTCAACATTTATTCATTGATTATTAAAATCAAGAGTTGTATTTGTTAGCATTGGTCATGTTAGTAAACAATGAACAGCTGCATTAACCCTCTGGGGTTGTTCGTTTACAGAGTCACGCTCGGGGTGTTCGGGTCCAAATGGACCCAAAGGGCGGGATTCATATTTAAAAAAAAAAAAAAAAAGTTTTTATAATATTTTTATAACTCGTTTTTTATAATATTTTTTCTTTTCTTTTTTCAAGTTGAGAAAATTTCAAAAATAAAAAAAAATTATAATTAGTATTAATGCAATAATTATGACAAAATTTCCCCCCATTGAACATAATAGAAAAAATATTTAAAAATATATTTTTTTTTTTTTTAATTTTTTTTTAAAGCTGTATTTCATTTTAGAGTCAAGCCTAGGCCTCATAAAAGCAATTTTTGAAATGAGATGGATGCCATCTGGTGGACAAACTGAGCATTTTAAAAACTGCAAAACACATCTATAATCTGAATTTTTTAGTGTGTTTGTGTGTGTGTGTGTGTCTGTTTTGCACTCTTGATGTTTTATAGATTCACCCCTTCACTGTTGTGTGCTTTTTTTCAAGATCGTGGCTGATTTGTAGATTGTACGCACAAAAAAACTCAGTATTTTCACATTTTTGCCAATTTCCCATTCATATTCCATGCAGGTCCATTTGGAGTGTGACTATTTTTTTTTTTTCAACCACTTAGATTATTCACATCCTGTCCCCAATTTTTTTGGGTGTTCAAATACCAAATACCAACAAAGTCACCAAATTTCGGACCATTCCGATGAAGCTACGATTTTTTAAAAAAAAAAAATTTAAATTCTTCAAGTCCATTTGGGCCGAACAACCCCAGAGGGTTAACAAAGATGAACAAATATTGTTACAAATGCATTGCTCATGGTTAGTTCAGGTAAGCTAATACACTAACTCACGTTAACAAATGAACCTTATTGTAAAGTGTTACAGATCTGAGCATTACTGATTCGAATAGTTTCTCTAGACTGGTTGGTAGATGTGTATGACTTCAGTTTTTTGCATTTGCTGAAGGATATATTTCATGTGAGTGTGTCCAGCGAAAGCTCTGCCATGGAAGTGCTTTATGTAGTAGGACATTGTTTCCCGAAATTAATGATAACTTTTAAGTGCATGAATCGGTCCAATAAGATCAAAGCTCACGTGTGAAATGCATGAAAGGGGTCGCGAGCGTCCGAACAGACAGCAGGATTTACAGCGATCTGTCCGAGCAACAGCACATCCACACTCCTCAGCTTGACTGATGGAGAAGTCTTCCTCTGGGTGAGCGTCTAATTGCCTTGAGCTCGTTACACCCGTAGTTTAAACGGCCGTCTGCTGGGCAGTGGCAGCACATCTGTCATCATTCACAGATGCTGTGGGCTAACGGCTGGGAAACAGCAGCTTGTCTTTCATCAGCTGTCCGACACACGGGTCAGCGTAACGCTAACAACTCTACGGTTAAAAGAGTTAACATCACTTCACACCAACCGCCCACACGACTATTTTAGGGAGCCAATATTGATGCGGTTAGTCTGTTGACTACATGATGGTACCTTTAAAACATTCAGGTGGGGATCCGCCATAGACATACACACTAGACCTCACCTTGGATACGGCAGTTCATTAGATCGAATGCGTCAATAGAGCCGCCATCTTGAAACAGGGGAGCCCCTCCACTTTAATGCATCAGCGTCAATGTAGTAGACACAGTAAATCACCATAAATCATCATGAATGCGATTTTTCTTGTTTTTTTGGTTTGTTCCAACGGTCAGACATGTATTTATCATTGATTCCAGAAAGAAAAAAAATAATTTTTTTAAACATTCTTCCTAGTTCAGATTTCATCCGTGAACTTCATACGCTGCACAAAAGTCCGCCACCATCAATGAATTCGAAGTAAAGGCAGAGATAGCAGCGTTACCTAGCTACTTCCTATGACAAGACCCCTGTTCCAAGATGGCGGCGGTTTTGACGCATGCTTAGAACCCCCAAGGTGAGTTCTAGTGTATATATCTATGGGGATCCGCTACACTGAATCTGCTCAAACAGTCTATTAGCATGCAGTGCCTGTAGAGCACAGTAATTACACAGATCAGGCAAAGGGACAATGTTTGCTGAACACTATTTGCACGGCGCAGTTCGGATCTCAACATGATGGAAGTGGCCTTTACTACACCACATCTGGATAAATGGGCGATTAACACGCTCTTCCGCATCGTCCGGTTTACTGTGCATATGATTACTAGAAAGTGCACACAAACATCCCTTTACATAAATGCTCATTTATCAGCTGCTTTCAAGTGGCACTCAGCGTTATGAGAAGCAGAAAGCAGTTTTGTGAATAAAGCTCAAACAGTGTTGAGCCTAATTTATACAGAAAAGTGAAGTCCCTCTGTAGTCAATCATTGTATCCCTTAAAACTCAATCTTTGACCTTAAAAATGACTTATTTAAACTTTTTTCCTTGAATGAAAAATCTCCATGCCTTTAAATATCTTGAATGTAAATCAACACCGTTGCCTCATTTAGTATACGCAGTTCTATGAATATGCAGATGAGCCCCGCCTCCACTCAGAGATCCACTGGTTGGCGATCACACGTTGATCTGATTGGTTTCAAGGTGGTTTGTGACCCGCGATTTCACACCGTGTTTTTGAGACTGCAGTTTTAAGGAGGAAATACTCAGCAATGCTGTCCACCTATGAACTTACACATGGTGTGTGTTAAAGCGGATTAAAAACAACACATAGTGGCTAAACTCCTGATCACAGAAATTCCTATCGATATGACTAAAATACGCCGAGCACTGGGAAATTTGACTGTATTTGTTAATCCAGACTTTGTCGCCTTTGCTTAGTTGAAGACATTTAAAGGGTTAGTTCACCCAAAAATGAAAATTCTGTCAGTATTTACTCGCCCTCATGTTGTTCCAACCCCGTAAGACAGGGCTATTCAATTAGCTTAATTCGAGGGCCGCATTATTAAATCGAAAAGTTGAGCTGGGCCGCTGGGTTTCGCTTATTTATTGACACATAACAGTATCAATAAGTAAGCTAAAGTAAACAAAAAAAGGTTTTGCATTTACTAGGAAATGTGGTACCCAACAGTATGCAGACCATAAGAAATAACTTTTTTATAGCTATATACAAATAAATTGAATTATACAATATCATTGCTATTGGTAAGAATTCTTTTATTAATAATTATTATTGGCTTGAATTAAAATATCCTGACAGTGAGACTTGTGGCTCACTACCACTGTATAAAAAATGCCTAAAAGGTAAACAATTATACACACTAATGAATTATATATTCCTCTACCCCCCTAATAAATCTAATGCAAAATAAATGACTATAACATAGTATTCAATATAAATATTCCACATTTCTGCCCAAACCATGGTAAATTATTACATTCATGGTAAATGTTTGTAAGGGTTGTGATTATGGCATTTATATTCTAACTTTGTTCATGTTTCTGCTATTTACCTCATCGAGTGTTGAGAATGTTAAGGCTGTTTCATCCGATTTAAAACTAGCTAAAATCATTGAGTGATTTGTGGTTTGTAACAGAGAGGAGTGTCCCATTGAAACGCTTTTTAATGGATGTCGCAACGTTGTTTAATAATAGTGTCCGGGACCGGGAGTAAACGCAACTCCTTTAAGCTTGTGTTCCGTTACCTGGACCGTGCTGCCAAGTTCAAAGAAAACTAGTGAAACAACTGAAACCAGCGCTATTTTGTTCTCTATTTGTTCTTACTGACCGAGAAACCGCTTCAGATGATTCAGTGACAGAACGGTCCGAACGAATCCGAATCGTTGACTGTTATGCACGCAAATTCATGAAAAGGAAATGAATTCAGTCGACAGAAATACGGTTCAGTCGACAGAAATACGGGACACACATAATAATAACTGCTGAAATATTCGGACTGAAAACGTTTCTCTCAGGTCAGTCGGAGCGCTCATGGCACACACAGTGCGTGTAGTCATCCAGCTGCACGCGCCACTGCGGCCACGCGCATATCAAGCCAAATTTAAATAGGAGGGGGAGGTTGGAGTGCTCTCGGGCCGCATTGGGATGATTGGCGGGCCGCACTTGGCCCGCGGGCCGCCAATTGAATAGCCCTGCCGTAAGACCTTCGTTCATCTTCAGAACACAAATTAAGATATTTAAGATATTAAGATCGCTCCTGCATACTAGTCCATAGGCTTCTTGAGGGAATGACTCTTGCTGTCCTCGAAAAGTCATTAAAGACATCGTTAAAATAGTCCAAGTGACTACAGGGGCTCAATCTTAAGTTTATCAAACGACGAGAACACTTTTGTGCGCAAAAAAACAACAAAAATAACGACTTTATTTCAACTATTCACTTCCTTCTCCATGAGCCTGTAGTCAGTTAACGTAGTGTGATTGCGTAGAGCTACGTCACACGTAGGCTCACTATTGGCCGATGCTGGTCATGTGTGTGATGCGTGTGACGTACAATAACAGAAGCTTACGCTATTAAACTATTAACCTGACTCGCGCAGAGGGAGAAATAAACGAATAGTTGAAATAAAGTCGTTATTTTTGTTTGTTTTTGCGCACAAAAGTGTTCTCGTCGTTTGATAAAGTTAAGATCGAGCCCCTGTAGTCACTTGGACTATTTTAACGATGTCTTTAATGACTTTTCGGGGACAGCAAGAGCCAGTCCCTCAAGAAGCCTATGGACTAGTATGCAGGAGCGATCTTAATATCTTAAATATCTTAATTTGTGTTCCGAAGATGAACGAAGGTCTTACGGGGTTGAACAACATGAGGGTGAGTAAATACTGACAGAATTTTCATTTTTGGGTGAACTAACCCTTTAATATTCAACTGTATTATTGATCTGCCTGCATTGACACCATAATACGAGAACTGAACTGAGCTGGGTAGAGCCCGACCGATAAAGGATTTTGAAGGCCGATACCGATACAAATATTTGGGGGTTTTAAAATCCGATATTCCGATATATCGGCCGATATTTTATTTATTTATTCTAAACTGGACATGATAGTCACAAATTTTGTCCTGCTTATTTGAGTTAAGAGAACTGATGGGGATGTTCTTTTAATTGTTATTCAAGCAATGACCAACTCAACAAGTGTTGCCAACAGGAACGGTGTAGAGCGCCCTCTGGTGGACAAACTATAAAACTCCAACACTCATGACATGGTTCAAGCGTGTTTCGTCCGTTTTTATTTTATTTTTGAAATATTCATTTATCGGCCATTATAACTGCCGATACCGATAGTTTAGAAAATGCTTTATATCGGTCTGCCGATATATCGGTCTGGCTCTAAATGACATCACTGTTTTTCTCCAGAACGACTATATATATATATAAATTAACAACTTTTTTAAAACACAAATGATCCATCGCTGAACTTAAGCAGGACTATGACGCTATTGTCTTCAAGATCTGCTGTTATTTTCCTGTTATCTTTTTAAAGCTGCCTTGAAACCATCTTTATTGTAAAAAAATGTGACTTGACTAAATGATTGACTGCCCACACTGCGCATCACAACTGTTCTGATGCGATTTGTGTGTCCCGTGACCCCTTTCATTGGTTTCTACAGGCAATCACGTTGGTATGCCACACCAAAAACAACAACAGCAAGACACTGCTAGCATTGATGAGGCAGGGGCAGGAATATAGGGAGCAGTCTGCCATGCGAGGCATTACTTCCGGTTTTGTGAAGTCCAATCAGTGTGTTCAGACTGACAGAGACTGTGGAACTGGACTGATGACCACCTGAATAACAGAGGTGTAACCCGCTAGCAGAGCAGACACGAGTACCTGAGGCCTGGATCAGGTGACCTTAACCAACAGCATGTTTAGAGGGTCACATTAAGAGCCTCGCTCACCTCTTTCTCGGGATACAGCAGGTCGAAGAGCTTCATGACGGGCAGGAAGTCGGCGAGCGCGTTCTTCTGGATGCTCCCGGAGATGAACTGCAGCAGGACCCACATCAGGTGATCCCGGCCCTTGATCAGGCCCCGGCCCGCCAGCTGCTCGGAGCAAACACACAGTCAGAGGCACGCGCCAGAAAGCAGAACAAGTGTAAGTCACATGTGAGAATGTGTGGCTCTGTCCCAAATGACTCATATAAACTTCTGGGGTCTCATTTATAAAACTGTGCGTAGGATCCTTACTAAAAGTGTACGTGCGCCCGAAAGCCAAAAATGGCGTACGCCAAAAAATATTCAGATTTATAAAACCGTTCGTACGCCAGAACCTGCGCAGAATTCCCTTTATAAATCCCAGTCAGCGGGAGATTGTGCGCACGTGCGTCTCCTCCCCGAAATAACCATATATGGAGATTAAAACGCCTGGCTTAAATATGCATATCCTCATCTGCATATCATTTGCATGTGATTATTCATCCACGTGATACCATGACACATATGAAATATACAGTAGATGTGACGTGTCACAATAAATTATTTATTTATTTTTTTAGTAGCCATATCCTTGCCTTGTTTTTGAATGAATAAATCAAATAGTGTCAAATACATTTCAGAGAAAGACTTTCTCAATCTTTTCAACTGGCCAAATAGTATTTTTAATGGAAACAGATAGACATGGTTGTGGATTATGGAACTATTTTCTCAGACAATCTGCTATTATCATAAAACACAGCATGCCAGAGGGAAAGTGTTCAAAAGCATTGCATCCACAACAAATATAGCCTATATTTCTATTTATTGAATATATATTTTTGTAACTTCTCAGTAATGATTTCATGTAGTTTAAGTGTTTAACTCCATTAACGAGAATGGCATATTTAATCTAAATGTTTATATCAGAAGTAAAACAGTTTAATCATTATTTCATTTATTTAAACTGTTATTGAGAATGTGCACTGTATTTATTAGCCTACTCAGGAAGATATAAGGTTCATCTGCCGTTAGATTATGTGCGTCAGTTTCACTAAACGGCCCAACGCGTGTGCTGGCACGGACACGAAGGGATGGATATTGGCTTCAAGTGATTGGCTTGGTGAGTGAAATTTTATTTGTAGGCTATTTTCTTTTTGTAGCCTATAGATAGGCTATAATTTTCTTTAGATTTTCGTTCTAAAAGTGACCAAAAAGACATTTAACTACAGCTCACGTCATACCAGTTCACACTTGACGTATTTAATGGGGCTTTCCCTTTAATTAACTGGATGGTGTGTGTTGTCAGAGATGTGTTCTGGCACGGGACATCCTCACCCCTCCAGTCTCCCAGTTGTTTGTCGTCTCTACTATTCGGAGGGTTGGAGCCAGAGGGGCGTAAGTGGCATTTTGGGCGAATATGAGTTCTTTATATCAAAATAAAGGTCTCGATGAGCTCTATCCAATGGTGCCAAAAATACCTATCTGAGATCAAACTGTATTGAATAAAGCAACAAAAGGGCGTATTTGGCTTATTTGACTTTTTTTTTTTTTGAAAATGTTTTAGATTAATACGCCTTACATTTTTTACTTAAAGAGATAGTTCACTGAAATTAATTTTTGATATGTTTTATCTTACCTCAAGGGCATCCGAGATGTAGGTGTCTTTGTTTCCACAGTATTTTCAATTTTGACATTTTTCAGTCAAACCGTTGTTGTCTATCAGTCATACACTGGAGGCTAAGGGGGTCCACCAAAGAGCAGCACAGAGAAGTCCAAATTAAACATGATTTAATGACTCGTAAATGTAAGTACACATTGATGGCCTAAGACACGAAACGAGCGGTTTGTGTGAGAAAACGTACAGTATTTATATCGTTTTACCTCTTGTAATCATAGCCATGACAAAAATGATCTGACGGCACGGGCGCTTCGGTCTGGAAGTGATCGCTTGCGCGCCGACGTCACTCTTTGTTTATACAGAGATTTCGGAAGTTTTACCTTTCACTAAACATATTTAGATATACGGGAAACCGCAATGGAAGACGATTTCGGTATATCTAAATATGTTTAGTAAAAGGTAAAACTTCCGAAATCTCCGTGTAAATATTGAGTGACGTCACACGCAAGCGATCACTTCCGGCGCAACATTGAACTGATTCAGTTCGGTTCAGCTGGACATTGAACAACTGATTCAGATCACTGTGATTACAAGAGGTAAAACGATATAAATACTGTTGGTTTTCTCACACAAACCGCTCGTTTCGTGTCTTAGGCCATCAATGTGTACTTACATTTACGAGTCATTAAATCATGTTTAATTTGGACTTCTCTGTGCTGCTCTTTGGTGGACCCCCTTAGCCTCCAGTGTATGACTGACAGACAACAACGGTTTGACTGAAAAATGTCAAAATTGAAAATACTGTGGAAACAAAGACGCCTACATCTTGGATGCCCTTGAGGTAAGATAAAACATATCAAAAATTAATTTCAGTGAACTATCCCTTTAAGTACTCATTTCATGTAAGTATGCCTGTGGTTGCAATGTTTGTGGTTTAAGGTTAATAATACAGGTGATTGTAGCGTGGTCAAAATTTCGTTTTGTCTCTCCTGTAAAGTTTGTTAAAAGCTACTTACGCCCTTCTGGCTCCAAGCCCTCGTTCAGAGTTTAGTCACTATAGTTTAGAAAATAAAATGATATTCCACTGGTTTTGTCCGTCCTTCGGTTCGACTCTCACACATGAATTATATTGAATATCTGTCAGCTGTTAAATTTAACTACACAATTAAATAATACCAGTTTAGCTCAACCAATCAGCAAGCAAGTCTTCATGTTGTTCAGTCTGTCTGTGTGTAAAAAGAGCATTATAGCAATTACAGATTTTTAACATTTTTACTGGTAGTCACTGTATGAAGAACTTTTGGGTATATGACGTCACAGTTTACTTTATTTTGCTATCCTCACTTACATAAATGAACTATGTGCCCTAAGTTTTTGTTATATAGTAATGAAAGTGTTTTTTTATGGTTTCAGTTAATAATAATAATCCTGTTCTGCAATCATATGACATTGGAAACTTTCCCCTCTGGTGACGCTTTAAAATCTCATTTGCACTGGCTTTAGACTATGAAAAAATGCTCTTTTAGTTGCATCATCTGACAACTGATGTTTTTAGTGTCAATGAATATCACTGGATCTTAATGAACCTTAATGTAAAGTGTTACAAATCAGATGTTTGTAACACTTCCATATCACAGCAATCTAAAGCATCTCAAGTGGGAAAGGAAGGCTGAACAGTGGACACACGACACACGTCCATTTTCTTTAGAAATTCAAAAACATAAATCGTGTTTTGTCGCTGTGGCGTGAGATCGCTCTGGAGAAGCAGCGACGCTGATCTCTCTTCCGGCTTAATAATACCAGTCACAGCGCCAAATAAACATGAATGAGCATCTGAAAGTGTGTTAAAGATAGAGTACAACTTATCGAAATCCGTATCATGTCACATTGATTCACTCAATCAGCGTTTCAACCGTGGAAAGACGTCAGTTAAACAGCTTGTAATCAATGTCGTCATATTTACCTCAGAAAACCCACATAAACTCGTTAGTCAGCTAGAAAAAATAACTCTAGAGAGGAGCATTTTGCTAAATATATACACCATATTACATATGCATTATAATCTTAATGTTCTTCAATATTTAATGCATATTTGAATAAATCTGGCAAGTTTTTATGACAGCCACCATTTAAATGTTTATATTTCATATAATCTTCTTACTATAAAAATAAATAAAAGTGTAATTTAAGTGTTTGTATAGCTACAAAACAGTTCATTATTACCTTCATATTAGGCTAATGAAGCCTATAGGCTACAACTAGACTCCCATAGTTTACAGCATTAGTTAAGAGATTTGATTCCCTTGAGAAAATTTGCCATTTATTGTAACTGATATCCAAAATAATCAATATTGAATCGAATCGGAATCGAAATCGAATCGAATCGTGAAATTTGTGTCAATGCCCAGCCCTAGCACTTTCCCATTGAGAATGGCCAATACATTTCTATCTGGATCATTTAGATTGGTCGAGGACTGTGTGTCTCATCTGGTTGCCCATTGACATTGCTCTAAAAATTGCCATGTGCATCATCACCTTAAAGGGGACATATCATGCAAAATCCACTTTTTAGCCCTTAAATGCATTTTGTTGCATATTTGGAGTGTTTATAAGTACAGAAAAGATGAAATTATTCTCTTCAGGTGCTTCGTTTATATGTTTATATTCTGTTTTGGTCATATTTTTTAACCTGTTCCGATTTTTCTGTTCTCTATGACGTTTTTTGAACAATTACGTCACAGTATTCGCTCCGATTTTGTAGTCCGAGCTCAATGATGCAGAAGTTACGAGAGGGCAAGTCAAAATGTTCGGTTGTTGGATGTAGTGACCTGAAGCACTTCAAGGATTCCCACTTCAACAACATATGCCAGTATAAAGAACGGTTTGCCGATCGACTTTGTCTGAATGAGGGGTAAATTCCTTCTATCACAGAAGTACATCAGTAAAGGGGCCTGTGGAGCTATAGTAATGAGGAATTCAGACCCAAGCATTGCAGTTATGCTTTATATAGACCACAAATGTATGATTTATAAGTAAAAATGAATGATTTAAAAGCATGATATGTACCCTTTAAGTCATCGGGGTTTGGATCGGCCTGAGTAAGCGGTTCCTAACTGTACGTTCACACCGCCGCCGACTTGAGCGTCAAAGAAGCTCTGGCCGCTCTGTCAAGGACGGTTCTCAAAAAGTACGGGGAAGCTTGTTGACGCTTTGGACGCTCTGAAGTTGCAGGGAGAATAGAACTGTCAGAACATGAAATGTAATAAACAGAAGAAAAAAAACAAGCAACACATAAAGAAACCTTTTATAACGACAGAATTTTTGTAACCGTTTTGGTCATATTTGGTCGGGAAAAAAATAGTTAGCTATTATTATTATTATTTGCGGCCAAATCGGAGTCACCGTGAGCAAATTAATTGCATTCCCGCTTTAAAACGAGCGTTCGTAAATATTTCAAATAACAGTTGCGCTTATGCGGTCCCTATAAGCAAACAACGTCATGCCATAAATGATACGAAACCAGTAGGAATCAAAGCAACGGCGATGATTAGCTTCTCTTCCATTTACTCGGAACTAATATTTTGGTACGAACGAAAGTTTACATTACATATTTCTCCGGAATCAGCCGGCGTGAAGGACGTCTATATTCCGATTGGTCGCTGAACCGCGTCACAGCTCATTACCATAAAGTTGAGCTTCTTTCAACTTTCTGATTGACGCTCAAAATGCCCAAAACGATGGATTTGACGCTCCAGCTGAGAGAAGCTAGCTTCCATTGAAAATGAAGGACTTCCGGCCGCTTTGGAAGCTCAAGTCTAAGCGGAGGAGCTGTCTTGAAGTGTACCTTCTGATGTAGAGACAGCACCATGTGAGGGAAGCTGGCGAACTGGAAGAGCACGAAGAAGATGAGCTGGCTGGAGAGGTGCTGCCACAGGAGCTGACTGGTGCCGCCGTCGTCGAACTGCTCCTCCGTCTCCGACCGCTCCATGGCGTACACCACCAGGTCCACCAGCTGGTCCTCCAGAACCGGGCATCTCTGCTTGTGCTGCGAGAGGGAGAGCGGTGGACAGAGGCGCACTCTTACACAGACCACAACCACAGCAGTGACGAAACCACACACGTTTCTTACTCTTCAGGTATCTCACACTCACTGGATAGTTGTGTAGAAGTACTTTAGTGTAATAGTAGGCCTAAAACCTTCATGTTCAGCATCTATCCGACTTCCTCCTCATCACTTCAACACGGGGGTTCTATTACGCCGGGTTCACGGACGCTGAACGGAAAATCACGCGCCTGTCTGTTCAGACCTGATGCGTATTCCTCGCGTAGGTCGACAAGCGCTTCTGCTCTGTTGTTGTTTATTCAGAGCTATTTTTTTTTACATCATGGGTAGTTAAATAACCTCATAATATACACCATATCTGTGTAACCAAGAAGTTTGTACACTTTTTTATTAATCCGTTGTCAAGACACACGCAGCCAAAACATTGAAGAGAATGACTGGACTGTTGTATGTGAGAATGTGTACCCTAAATGCACCTCCCTTGGGATCCATGAGCTCAATTTCAAATTCTTTAATAGAATATATCTTACGCCGATGCGTATTAAGAAGATGTTTACCAACGCTACAGGCTTGTGTTTCAAGTGCAATAAGGATAAAGGTACATTCATGCATTGTTTTTGGCACTGTGACATAATTTTGTCATACTGGAAGAAAGTACATAGTGTAATGGAAGACCTTCTTGGACTACATTTCGATATGACCCCAGCTTTGTATCTATTAAATCTCAATGTGAACATTCTGTTTAAAAAAGATGCAGTAACACTATTTGTGATACTGGTATACTTTGCTAAAAAATGCATTTTGTTACTTTGGTCTGCATCGCAGGCTCCATCCTTCAAAATGTGGATATTACAAATCGCTGCATGGTTACCACTTGAAAAGCTCACTTACGATAAACATAAAAAATCTGACAGATTTTGGTCCATATGGTCCTCCCTTTGGGATTATATAAAGGAACTCCCTTAACTTCCAATCTAAAGGATGCTAAGTCAATGTGACCTTGTTTATGTGTAGTTATTTTAATTTTTTTTTTCAATTATTACTGTCTTTTATGTTGTGTACACCTTGTAATACAAATAGAACTTTGTTTTGATTCTGTAAATGTAAATTATTTTCTATTGTGGGCAAACAATAAAAAAAAAAAAAAAAAAAAAAAAAAAAGACACACGCAGCCAGAGAGATAATAGGCAGACAGTTATAGTAGTGTATGTGAAGAGTTCAGATGCAAAAGCCTCTAAATGCCATTTGAAATTTTCTTCTTTAATGATGATTTTTTTCTGAACTTAAATATACGAGTTTGATAAAAATCATCATTAAAGAAGAAAATTTCAAATGGCATTTAGAGGCTTTTGCATCTGAACTCTTCATATGGCGCTTTTCCACTGCATAGTACGGTACGGTTCGGTTCGGTACGGCTCACTTGTGGTGCTTTTCCACTTTTTTTTTTTTCTTTTTTTTGTTTATTTATTACCAGGACAGTGCATATTAACATGACAAGTCAAAATATGCCAGAGTTAGCCAAAAGGCTAGTTTTCATCTGCAGTCCTGGGCCAGATGTACAATAGGCAACCTAAAAATACAATATACATACAACAATTATAATTAAAACATAACAAACCAAAACAACTACAAAAAGAACCCCCAAAAAACAAAAACAAAAAACAAAACAAAACAATAGAATAAAAAAATCAATGTTGACATATTTGCATGCTAAAAAGCCACATTTTAAAAGAAGAACGAAATTCATTATAACTATTTAATTCTCTAACAGACGTTGGGATGTCATTCCATTCTTTTGAGGCTTTAATAGAGAAGGCAGATTGACTAAAAGCAGTTTTCCTAAAATTAATAACACAGTCCTATATAAAGGCGCCACTGCATGGTACGGTACAGTACGGTTCGCTTCAGGTCGCTTTAAATGGTACCTGGTCTGTTGAGGTTCCAAGCAAACCGTACCGGTACTAAAATGTGACGTGAAACACTGCAGATCACTGATTGGTCAGACAGAATCGTCACTACTAGCGTCATTGGATTTGCGATGACACGAGACGCTTTTTTAGCAGTATTTTGTTTTGCTGCCATCAGCCTCATTTTAAACACATCTTTCCGTCTAGCAGTTAAAAACAACCACATACCGAGAATCAGGAACACCATCCCCTCGATAGTCTCCATTGTTCCTGTGTTGTGGGTTTGAAAATGTGGCGCTTTTAAGATGATGTCATGGCAGTAGAGGCGCGCGCAATAAACGATCAGTCCCACACACTTTGAAGGGGTACTACTGCGGTGGAAACGAAAAGCGAGCCGAACTGTTCCGCGCCGAGTCGAAGCGTACTGCGCCGAACCGTACCGTACTATGCAGTGGAAAAGCGCCTTTATATAGGCTACTGTTCAAATATACATCCTCTCTTCAAATTTATGAAATCTACAGTATTTTCATCTTCCATTTTCACTTATCAACTCCTGCCTGCGTCTCTCTCTCGTTGTTTCCCTGTTTGATTGTGTGTTCGCATTTGTCACTCGCGGTATTTTAATTTGAAAATTGCTTATATTTTGACAATTTACCAGATGTTTGAGTGTTTCTTGGTGTAACTTCCTTCGGGAATTGACGCGGATCACTCACGATTCGCGGAAAAAATAGACCAGACGCCGAAACTGGCGCTTCACGGCGCTCCGCATCTGGTGTGAACTCGGCGTTAGACAGGCCAGACGGATGAATAGGCAACGCTGACACGTGAAGGTCAAGGTGAAGCCAACGTGAGTGAATGGGTGACTTCTGCAGTTTAGTTTGAATAAATGAGGAGGAAGTGTCGACTTCTGAAACCTACCGACTGTTCTCATGATCAAACTGGTTTAATAGAGTAGATCGACGAAACGCTGATTTCTCACGATCAAACTGTGAGCAGGGTTGGGGTCACTCTGTCTACTCACAGTTTTCAGTCTCGCAACTGGAGGGCAAAACATCCATTAAACTGCAGCACAGGTCAGTAAATTCTCCATCTCAAAAGAACAAAAAACCAAAATATGTGCACTTGTGATTAGGGTTGGGCATCGTTTGAATTTGAACGATTCTGATTCCGATTCCTTGTTTCGATTCCGGTTCCTAACGATTCTCGATTCTGATTCTTTTAAGAGGCAGGGTCAAAAAAGTTTAGCTAACCTTGCTAACCAACGGCCTTTCTGAAGGAAATACTCCTGTAAAAATACTCCTTTTGTCACAAATTTAGCATTTTGCCGAGATTTCGTTATTTTTAGAAAAGTGAAGCCACACTTTGGACCGCCGACGTAAGCTACTCATGTTCGACTCGCGCGGTTATGCCAACACTTCCGGTAGACGCTTCTTCGTTGAAACCGCTGTTGTTCAGCGGTTTCTTCTTCCGCTCGGCGGACTGTGAATATCGAAACTTTTTTTTTTGTTGTTGTTGTTTTTTTGTGAATATCGAAACTAGGAATCGAAATTTTAACTTTTGAACGATTCCGGGAAAAACGAAAAGTTAGTCCCGGTTCCAATCGATACTCGATTCTCGGTACCCAACCCTACTTGTGATCCACATTCAGCTCATGCTGCAGTATTTCAATCCCTAAAGATAGCGGGACGTTCAACGTGAAAAACACTTCGTGGTATTAGAAGTGATATCAGAAGATCAAATTCAGTGCACACCTTATTGATGATGCAGATTATATACAGGCGAGCAGGTGTGTGTTTATGTTCACGGTTCATCTGCTCGCCTGTATATAGTGTGCATCATTCATAAGGCGTGTACTGAATTGCGTCTTGTTACATTAGTACTTGGTAAAAATCAACTGTTTTGCTCTCCAGCGGGGAGAATAAGGGTGTGACGTGAAAACTATGACTCTCTGGGGTTTTTAGCTTGCTTTTGCACTCCTTTTTCAGTTTGTACGCCTTCTAATAGGTGTTTTTAATCCTAATATCTGACCAAATCGGTCTTAAGCAAATGAACTGAACTAAATAAGCAGCCATTCCCCAACCCAGGGACAGTTACAGGCCGTCTGCACATGACAAACACGAGCTTCTGTATTGACTGGACACACAGAGCATATTCAACACGGCCTCACGACAGTCACAGGAGATGGACGAACACAAATGAAACACGCTTCACAGCAAACACACACACACACACCACTGAAAGCATGGCGTGGAGATGCTCACAGAAGCCCTGATCGCGAGGGAGGCAGCAGTGCATCTGCAGGACAGTGACGCCCCCTGGTGCTGGCGGGACAGAAGCGCACCAGGAGCATGATAGGGATGATCTGATCCCTGTTCCCATGATGCACTGCAGCGTCCCTGTAAGAGGCATGCAGGGACTGATCTATCAGCGGCACTGGGTGTGTCTTCGCATCCGTCAATGCTTTACTGATGCTGTTTGTTTGCTGTTTAAAGACCCCATGAACTGGAAGAGTTTTCTCCACTGTATTTACTATTGAGTTCATAACCCCTTAACTGTCACTAAATTTAATTCACTATATTACTATTAAATCCTAATCTAGTCATGACAAACTATATGTCGTTGGAAAGGTCTAAGACTCCTAAATTGGTATTTTAGCGCTGTTTCTTTCTTACAAATTATGAATGAACAGTAATATATGAATTTATGACAAGAGTGCTCCTCAAAAAAAAAATCAACGTCATTACAGGAGTTTCTGACCTTTGTCACAAAAAGTCGACGCACACACTTTTAATAATTGAAACTTTGGTTTTTAGTGCTAAAAGTTCAATAAAAAAAGATAAAATTATATTTTAAAAAGTAAGGTAAGAAGTCCTCTAAAAAGTATAATATATTATATATCATTCTTTTATTATTATTATATCACATATTTTAGTAGTTATCATAGGTATCATTTGAAAGCTTACAAACTCAGAATTCATCCTGTGAAAACCGTTTTGAAATTGGACGTTGCGTTACCATAGAAACTGTATTTTTTTTATTAGGCCCCTCCTCTTTTGGACATCATCTTTCATAATTTATTATCAAAACCTTTTCTAATCTTGACAAAACACATATTGTCAGAAAGGTCTGAGTCTCAAGGTTCCATATTTAGTGACAGAAGTGATATTTGGATAGAAATGTATTAATTTGTTAAGGCAGAATGCATACAATTAAATTCAATGGAATTCAATGGCACCCGGTGGCTATTTTTGGTATAACGCCTAAACAAAATCTCGTAGGATCTTAAAAATTTGTGGTATCAACTTTAAATTTGGAACACAGCTTGGTTAGATATATAGCTTTCATTTTATAGTAATTTTATTATTTTGTTAAATATTTTATGTTCAAAAATATATTTAATAGATTTACTGTAAATTATAACTTCCATAACTTTTTCATACTTTAATTTTTTGAAGTGCTTTCACTTCAATAATAATCTGCTGATTGTTTTCTTTAAAACAAGACCCAACTTGGGTAAATATTCCAAAGCATTCTGGAATTACAACCATTTAAGTTTGTATAGTGCATTTTAATGTCAATTATCAAAAAGGGGGGTGACAGGTAAGGGGTTAAAGTTCTTTGTTCTTAAAGTCCCCCGTAGTCAATCATTTTATCCCTTAAAACTCACCAAAATGATTATTTCCTTGAATAAATGTCTGAATAAAAACACCAGCGATTTCCCCCAGTGTTTTTGAGACTGTTGTTTATGTGTCTACGTGGTGTTTTTAATACGCTTTAAGACAAACCATGTGTAAATTCATAAGTCGACAGCATTGCCGAGTATTGAGACAAGGGTGTCAAGTTACATTCAAGATATTTTAAGGCATGAAGACATGTTTGGGTGATCAGAGATGAGTTTTAAGGGATACAATGATTGACAACGGAGGGACTTTGAATAGCTTTTAAGTGCTCGATCAATGGATGAAGCAATGAACCCACTGTAGATTTCCTTTTTTAAGGATTTGCAGACTTGCCAGAACCAGCATTTACTGTACGCCTGGGGTACAGTAAACACTATAGTAGCACACACCAGCGTTAACAGAACATGTGACCCGTCATCCGACCGCAGCACTCATTTAACTCCCTACCTGATCATGTGGCATTGACGTTTTAAAGAGCATTTCATTGGACAAGAATTTGCATACACCCATTTAATGTCATCAATATTTTAGTCAAATCTTTTAAAATGTCTGCTAATTAAAACTTTGTTTAAATGAGCTCAAAAGCAATTGACTTAAGGCACAAATCTCTAAATTTGACTTCATGGGGACTTTAAGAGCATGATGAAGGTCAGCGGGAGCATGAATGCTAATTATCATCTGGAGGAGAGGTGTTTCGTGAACGTCTGCGCTGAGCAGCACACAACACCCGGAGAGAGCCGATAAACAGCAGCAGGACACACACTGCACAACAGCACACACACACACACACAGCATGCGGCGATCAGGGCTTGAAATTAGCAGATTGTCTTCATTCTCAGGTACGCTTTCTCGTCCCTGAAAGAGGGACAGTGATGTGTGTGTTTGGCTCACCTACACCGAGACTCAACGGGTTTCCACATGAACTACTGTTAGTGCAGGGTGACCGCTCATCATTTACTCACGCTCATGTGCAACACAACGGTCTCAGAGTAATGTGCCATCTCCAAACAATGGGGAGTCAATGGTCGCCAAATCGGTTTGGTTCCCAAAGTTCTTCTTTTAAGTCATAGAGGTTTGAATGAGACGAGGGCGAGTAAATGATGACAGAATGAACATTTTTGGGTAAACGGTTTATAAATGAATCATTTGGTTTTGTCATTTCTTCTCTAATGATGGGAGATTAAGGGTCAGTCTCAGGAAAAGGCACCATTAACATCATCATCATCACACTATTATTGACAGACGGAAATCTCCTGTAGTGTGGAATGTAAAAGAAAAGCATTAAATGTTTGAGTCATTGCAAGGGTCCATCCACAAAAAGACGAGTGGAGAAAATGATTTCTACCTTTAGTTTCTTTAAAAATATATATTTTTATATGTAGATTATAGTGTATTTTTCTCTTTAAAAGATGATTTTCTTTAAGGTGGCAACATCATACAATGATTCAAACTTAAGTAGGGCTGTGAAACGATTATTCGCGATTAATCGCATCCAAAATAAAAGTTTGTGTTTACATAATATATGTGTGTGTGGTGTGTGTATAATTATTTTGTATATATAAATACACACACATGCATGTATATATTTAAGAAATATTTGCATGTATATACTTTATATATTTATTAAGGCTGTGCAAAAGTTAATTGCGATTAATCGCATCCAAAATAAAAGTCTGTGTGTACATAACATATTTGTGTGTGCTGTATATAATTATTTTGTATATATAAATACCTATGCATGCATGTATATATTTAAGAATTATTTGCGCTTAAATTCTGTACATATTTATAAATACATAATCTATATTATATAAATATAAATATTTTATATGAATAACACATTTTCTTAAATATATACATGCATGTGTGTGTATTTATATATACAACATAATTATATACACCACACACAAATATATTATGTAAACACAGACTTTTATTTTGGATGCGATTAATCGCAATTAATTTTTGCACAGCCCTAATATTTATACAAAATTAATATTATACATAAATATAAATATTTGATATATTAATAACAATTTTTTCTTCAATATATACACGCATGTGTGTGTATTTATATACACAAAATAATTAATAACACACTACACGCACATATATTATGTAAACACATTTTTTTTATTTTGCATGCGATTAATCGCGATTAATCATTTCACAGCCCTACTTTAAGTTTCTCTAGTATTTTATTAAATACACTCTCTCTCGACAGGCTCAAGGATTAAAATAAAATGTGCCGTCTACTTAAGCCGTTCTTAGAAATGTTGAATCCCAAGACATTTTTGAATGGGTTATTAATTATGCATGAGCTACTTAACGATTTATTAATTACAATGTGAGATTTATTACAAGGCACTTTCAGAAACTCGTGTAACTCATAAATAATAAATGCTACTGTAAGAGACATTTCACAGGAGGCAATTGGTGATTTTTGGAGACAGAAAGATTATATGAAGAGTTCAGATGCAAAAGCCTCTAAATGCCATTTGAAATTTTCTTCTTTAATGATGATTTTTTTTTAATGATGAAGTTCAGTAATTTCACTTAAATAACAATTAATAGGTAATTATCATTGCCATTTAAGTGAAATCACTGAACTTAATTATACAAGCTTGATAAAAATCATCATTCTAGAAGAAAATTTCAAATGGCACTTAGAGGCTTTTGCATCTGAACTCTTCATATATCATCTCAAGGTCACCGAAAGGGCCTTAACTATGCATTGGAGGGTTATATTAATAATTACATTGTTGAGAAGGTCGATGAAAAGCTTCAGCTCAAAAATGTACACGTCACAGTGTAAACGTGATAACCCGCATATCGTTGCCATCACCGTTTGGTGCTACAGTATTTACATTGCACAACACTGTTAACATTTGTTATCTCGGTTATTTACAGATACGTTAATGAAGCTAAGTGACATGATGTACAACACAGCTAGAAGCTAACGTTGACGTTTTCTATTGTTAGGCTAACGTTAGACTAACGTTACGTTAGAGATTTTAAAGATATCGTTCAAATTCATTGTTGACTTAACTTAGAACAGATGTAGACATGATTAATTTATCCTCGTTTAGTTGGTGTTGTGGTCCACCGCATAACTTAATCCAGAGCAGACACTTATCTCGGTTGAGATGTGGTTTGGGAAAGGGTAAAAAAATACACACCGTCGCCCAGCCTCTCGGGAACCTAGTGTTAGAGTTGCATGAACCCCATACACACCGTTTGACCATTTTAAACTTAAAACGACAAGAAAAACCGAATGAAAACTGACTAACTGCAATGCATTTCAATGGACGTGGAAGCAGAGAATGTCCGAGTCCATTGGGTTAGCTGCCCACTGTGATTGGCTCATCGCGTTTGAGGGCGTGGCTTAGCCACAGGTCAATTGGGGAGAGATATGTGAAGGACTTACATTGCAGAATATTTTAGAATAAGGTTAGAATTATGTGGCTCTAATTCCAATACATTCAGCCTATTTTTCTTTATTATTCATTGAAGTCTGTGAAGTCGCTGTCACAAATTTTTTTTTTTTCATGCCATGTGTGAATTTGTAAGTAAATCGTATTTGGTTTATTATATGGAAGTATATGGATATAAAGGATACCCATCACAGGGGGGGAAACGCAGAGTTTAACACTAACACTATCAACACTGCACCAATCATTTGAAAAAAACAACAAAAAACAACATACTTATTAACAAATAGTCTGAATATTAGAAGGAGAACCTGGTACTTTGCACCTGAGCTTAGAAAATATGATTTCTAGAAAGCTCAGCAATAAGATTTTTTAAAAACACTGGAATATTTGAGCTTTAATGGCGCCGTTTCCTGTGAATGACCCGCATACTACAACAGCTTAAAAGCTTTCTCCATCTCAAATGTCATTGTAAACAGTAAGAAGTGGGAAAGAAGAATCAAAAGGAACAATCCAGTTGCATCACTGTTTGTTTGTTTGTTGAATAAAAGCTTCAATTTTGGGAAAGAAGGAAAGCAGTTTGGCTGAAAGTGCAGAAGACTGTTGTGGAAAAGCTGATGAATTTCTCGGTCAGCCTTTCGAATGCTCTAATAATTGCTCGTGGCAGTCAGTAATTTCAAGCCCTACGTTTGTCGTCTTGTTTCACTTGAGGTTGTTCTTCTTCAATCGTAATTAGATGGAATCGTCTGGGGTTTGGCTATGAGGACGCTTCCGGAGTCTGGTTAGTCACAATACAACAGTAAGATTGTGAACATACCTGAGCAATGTTCAAGGTCTAGAGCATTGGAGGAGGAAGAGGAGGAGGAGGAGGAGGATGGGCGGGGCAAGACAGGACAGAACAAAAATAAAGGAAGAAAAAAAAGAAAACACAAATACAGTGACTAGGAGGCCAGCTCCAAATAACCCTGTCAGTCAAGCCAAACCACACCCCCAGAGACAGGTACGAGAGGGACGGGTGGGGCGTACTCCCTGCCAGACCACAGGAGAGAGAGAGAGAGAACCAAGTGCTTCACTTTTTGACATCCAGCCCCAAATATACAAACATTAGAGACACTTTCTATCCCCTTTTTACAGCCTACCAGAAAGACATCCATTAGAAATCTAATATGGACAAACTCACACTCCTGCTAGGAGAAAGCCCAGCAAGCTCGAACCCGTCTGTGTGTGTGTGTCGGGCTCAAACCTGGCTGCCAGGTACGTCTATGTGTGTAGGGTCGGACAAGAGCTACAAACTACACTCACTGTGTAAATATTAGAAGATTTAACATTTCTATTGCAATGTTTATTTGCAATGTATAATGTTTACAAACAAACAAAACTCCATTATTTTTATTCATTTATTTTTCTAATTATTTACTTATTCGTATTATATAGTGTTATGAATGAAAGATTTCTTTCACCATGCCAATAAAGCTTTTTAAATCTTGAGAGAGAGAGAGAGACAGAGAGGAAGGAGAGAGAGAGAGAGAGAAAACATCCAATAAACACACACTCGCAGCCTAAGACCTACACACACACTCACTTGCAGATAAGACCTACACTCGTGTATATAAATGTTCAAAATTGTTTGTTTTTTATATAGATGATTTCTAAATCCTCTTTATTTTATTTATTAATCTTTGTTTATTTTATTATTATTGTTTTAAGATATCGGTATTATTATCTTTGTGTACTAGATGTTCTAAATCATTTTCTATGTTGTTTTGATGCTTTGGCAATACAAAAGCTTTCTGAATTGAATTGAATTGAGAGAGAGCGAGAGAGACTAACAGAGAGAGAGAGGTCACAGTTTGGCAGGGAGTATTGTGTCGTTCAGGTCCTGTGGGAGGGAGTGTGGGACTACTCAAACTACGAGCAGCTGATCTCTCCACGCCTCTGCATCAGCCTCTCATCACAGAGAAGGGGATGGACATGCGAGGCAGAGGAGGGAGAGAGAGCCCTGCGAGAGACAGAGAGAGAGAGGGAGGGGGAGGGGGCGAGTGGCACCTGCTTGTTGAGGCCCAGCATGTTGCAGACCATGTCTCTGGAGTAGGGCTGCTCCAGCACATACCTCAGCAGACCCGTCTGCGGCTCGAACAGGTCCTGCGGAGACACACACCACATTTACACACACATATATACAGGGCGTCTGCAGACTCAAAAATGATATGTCTGTCGTTAATTCCTCACACTCATGTATGCTTCAAATAAAGATTATATCAGTTACACATGTATCATATTTTAAATGATTAAAAGCAGAAGCATTTATAATTTAATAAAAAAGGGTTTACGGCCAAAATGTGAAGTTTACCACTAATTTCATTTGTGCAGGTCTTAAAAAAAAACATCCTCTCTCTTGTGTCGTTCCAAACCAGTAAGACCTCTGTTCATCTTAGTAACACAAATTAAGATATTTGTGATGAAATCCGAGCGGTTTCTGAACCAGCCATAGACTGCAACGTCAATGAAACTTTCAAGGCCCAGAAAGGTAGTAAAGACAGCATTAAAATAGTGCATGTGACTCCAGTGGTTTTAATAACGGAATTAACCCCTTACACCCTGAAGGCATTTTTAGAGTTGTTTTCTGAGTGACGCACACAAAAGTAAAGACTCATAACTTCAAAACTATAGCAAAGAGAGGCCAAAGGTAGGCTTTGTTTGATAGAACACTTTAAAAGCAAAAATGAAAATATAAAATGACATGATATTTGGACATTCTCCTGATGAGAAACTGCTGATAAAAGACGAAAACTATATATAATTTCTATTATGATTTTGCATATCTTTCTTAATTTGACATGGAAATAACTCAGGAAGGAAATACGGAAGGAAAATTCGTTTTTTGGTGATGTCCCTCTACATGTGTGCTATATCTAGATAACAGTTTGTGTTGATTGGATAAATTTATCAAAAATTTCTGCATTTGGAACCAAGATAGCCTTTTTGTTCAGTTCTCGACGCCCCCTAAAGGGCATTTTTGAAATTGTTCCTCCATGTAAAGTCAAGTCACCTTTATTTATATAGCGCGTTTTACAATACAGATTGAATCAAAGCAGCGTCACAGTGATAAATAAGTTTGTTTGAACCGATGTGACGTAATGACTCAATATAGTCAACTAGCCGAGACTCTTCTTTATGTGTACAGATGTGACGTAATGGCGCAAAGACATGCTCGAATCTCCCAGAAATCCACCAGTACCACTGGAATTAAAAACATTATTACAAGCTCACTGGTTTGAATCGAGCTACGGCAAGCAGAGAGTTTTGAACACTGGCTGGTTATGTATTTTCTCAAATATTTATTTTGGATTATTTTTAACCTAAAAAAAGCTACGGACTGCAGCTTTAAGCTGGACAATGACTTTCTTCTAGAGCTGCTGTACAGCCAAACCTATCTTGGCTATTATTTTCGTATGTTCACAGTAAGGCTGCTGTGAGCGATCTGTACTGTAAAGACACAGGTGAGTAAAGTACCTTATCGTAGGGCAGCATTCCCCTCAGCGGGAAGCGCAGAGTGCTCGGGTCCAGCTTCCACGAGTTACAGATCGCCCCCGAGTTATTGACCACCGGCAGAAGACTGCAGCGCCCTGAAACACACCCACACACACTAGTTAAACACCAGACAGACTGCCGCTGGGGCTTATGGGATATGATTGACACTGTGAGATGAGGACGAGTGAATGTGTCTTACCACAGATTGAGTTAATACGGGCGGTCGGTCTGAAACTATCAACGAAGTCAGATATCAGGCTGCCCAACAGCTGGAAAGAAGATCACATTGCTTTAGATTTACTAACAGCTTGCGCCAGTGCTAACCCTCTTTTTCCATTAAAAAATTACCGTCAGGATTTACTAAATACATGCAGAGAGAAACTAGTTATTTCATACAGGTTATTTTTGTGGCTAAACCTTATTGCATATGTTAAGGATGGCTTTTGGCACAAATCACCAACATGAACCATGGATTTAATATTGTAACGCTAACTGTAACCATGGTATTGTAGCAGAAATAGCCCAAAGTTTTTACATTACTCATTTCAGGGTTCGTACAACCCAAAATTCAAGCACTTTTCAGTTTCAAGTTCTTCATAGTTTTTCCAGCACTTTAAAGCACTAAATAGTATACTATGTGATGATTTGTAAAACTAAACTTTTAAAGATGAAGGAAAACTAACACTGAGGGCAGAGGATCACTTTTTGATGACTATTAGCTATTTCCACTCCCAAATATATGGAAAAGTAGGAAGTCACAAAGTCTCATGTAAAACAAATACTTTTCTTCAGATTGTGACTGAATTACACAGAAAGAAAGTAAAGAGTGCTCCTTTTATAATCTCTGAATCTGTCTGTAAATTCAGAATGACACATTTAATAAGAATTGGGGTTTTGCACGTTACTGTTGTTAAAAAAGTCACTTTTATCTGCATAACAATTCTAGCTTAGTTCTTCACCGTTAAATTTCCAATAAACAAACTCCCTCTTATTGGTAATTGGACTTATTAAATGCAGAACAATAGTACTTTTATGATTAAATGAACTTTATGATTAATTTTCCCCCAGTGCTACCGCTCTCTGTTCCCCCGTGTGAACTCTCCACTCTCGTCTGCGCTCTCATGGGTCTCATGCTAATACGCCCTCAGTAAATCTATGCCAAGAGGCTGCAGGTGTGTGTTACCCAGTGTGAGAGCAAGCCCTCTGGATACAGCTTCCGGATCTCGGTTACAGCGAAGTACGCAGGCAGCAGACAAGCGTTGCGGTCCAGTATGTACTCCACCACCTGCACAGAGGACAATTAATCAAAACCAGCAAACACTAGAGGATCATGGTCAGTGGATTCACACGTACTTCTCGTGCCGCTAGCAGCTGCTGGACCACAGCCGAGCTCACGAAGCTTGGGACGGTCTGAATCTTGTCCAACACAGCCTTCAGGAGATCCCTGACGCCCTGAAACACACACACAGACTGTAAAGTGGGGGCACAGGACAGCACTGGGGGAGACGCTTAGAGAAAAACTACGTAAAAATTAATGAATGCTTTTGATTTAAAATACATCATACTATGTATTTTGGCCCAGTCTGCTCTGATTGGTCAGAAGGTGCAGTCTGCTGTGATTGGTCTACTCCGCTCTGCTATGATTGGTCAGATGGCCCAGTCTGTTGTGAATTGGTCTGCTCTAATTGGTCAGATGGCCCAGTCTGTTGTGATTGGTCTACTCTGCTCTGATTGGTCAAAAGACCCAGTCTGTTGTGATTGGTCTACTCTGCTCTGATTGGTCAGATGGCCCAGTCTGTTGTGATCGGACTACTCTGCTCTGATTGGTCAGATGGCCCAGTCTGTTGTGATTGGACTACTCTGCTCTGATTGGTCAGATGGCCCAGTCTATAGTGATTAGTCAACTCTGCTCTGCTCTAATTGGTCAGATGGCTCAGTCTGTAGTGATTGGTCTACCCTGTTCTGCTCTGATTGGTCAGATGGCCCAGTCTGTTGTGATTGGTCTACTCTGCTCTGATTGGTCAGATGGCCCAGTCTGTTGTGATTGGACTACTCTGCTCTGATTGGTCAGATGGCCCAGTCTATAGTGATTAGTCAACTCTGCTCTGATTGGTCAGATGGCCCAGTCTATAGTGATTAGTCAACTCTGCTCTGCTCTAATTGGTCAGATGGCTCAGTCTGTAGTGATTGGTCTACCCTGTTCTGCTCTGATTGGTCAGATGGCCCAGTCTGTTGTGATTGGACTACTCTGCTCTGATTGGTCAGATGGCCCAGTCTATAGTGATTAGTCAACTCTGCTCTGCTCTAATTGGTCAGATGGCTCAGTCTGTAGTGATTGGTCTACCCTGTTCTGCTCTGATTGGTCAGATGGCCCAGTCTGTTGTGATTGGTCTACTCTGCTCTGATTGGTCAGATGGCCCAGTCTGTTGTGATTGGACTACTCTGCTCTGATTGGTCAGATGGCCCAGTCTGTTGTGATTGGTCTACTCTGCTCTGATTGGTCAGATGGCCCAGTCTGTTGTGATTGGACTACTCTGCTCTGATTGGTCAGATGACCCAGTCTGTTGTGATTGGACTACTCTGCTCTAATTGGTCAGATGGCCCAGTTGTAAACAAATTCCTCCCCCCCACAGTTGTCATGAAGGGCAAAATAAGCTATAAAGACCAAACCCACTTTTTGCTTCAGGCTATAAAAAACGTTTTTTTCTCCTGTAAAGTTGGGCATTTTAAAGGACAAGTTAAAGGACACCCAACAATGAAAATTCTGTCATCATTTACACACCCTAAAGTTGCAAACCTGTATGAGGTTATTTCTTCTGCTGAACACAAAGGACGATATTTTGAGGAACGATTGGAACTTTGGCACCATTGACTTCCATAGTATTTTTTTCCCACTATGGAAGTCAATGGTGCCAAAGTTCCAATCGTTCCTCAAAATATCTTCCTTTGTGTTCAGCAGAAGAAATAACCTCATAAAGGTTTGCAACAATTTTAGGGTGAGTATTGTAAATGATGACAGAATTTTTATTTTTGGGTGGAGTATCCCTTTAACACGGGGGAGATGCAGATTTGACTCACTTTTGCAGCCCGCCTCAAGCAGTAAGTACATGAATTGCAGGTTAATTCACTTCCGTTTTGATTTTAAGAGATTGCAGCTTGGATGTCCCACATCAATCTCATCAAAGTGGATTTGACAACAGCGTCTTCTCGACATGAACAACACAAACCAAACTCTTCCAGTCTCAGATAAACTTCAGTGTTTGAGGGGCAAAACAGACACTGTTCAGCCAATCAAGATGAGAGGCTGGCATTATGCAAATTACTGACAAATTACCTAAATAACATTGCTTCAGAATCACTTCAGAGAGGCTTCCTTCTTCTGGAGACAGTAACCCCACTTGACAGAGTGTTTACATTCAGTTTACAGCTGTAATACACACTACATGAGAGCTCATATTGTGTATTCAAAGCAAAATAGGGGCACTTTAAAATGTTTACAACATTGACATTATGACTTTCTGTAAAGCTGTTTTGAATGTGTGTTGTGTAAAAAGATACACAATTAAAATTGATTTGACTTGAATGTCAGTCTACTGCATGAATTCATAAACACAAGTTTGCTGTAAAGATACAAAATATCACAGGTTTCAGTTTTCAACAGATTCCAGCTCATGCATATCTTTAGTTTATATTTTCACCTTGTAGTCGACTCCTCCGATGATTTTGCGGATGAGTTTGAAGGTCAAAGCCCAGAGTTGAGTTCTCTCCCACTCCAGACTGTCCGAGCCGATCAGAGCCTGACACACCATTCTGCAGGAACACCCACACACAGTCACATGACCATGTACTAAAACCGGTAGATTTTTTTTTTTTTACATAATTCAGTACTATTATGGTGTTCATGCCACACGAAAGTTAGGCAGTAAATAGATATTTCCTACGAAAATATTCAAATGAATGAACCAATCATTAATACCATTGACCAGCTCTACCAAACGTGGATGTTTGGAAGCTGCTTTGAAGCAATCTATATTGTGAAAAGCGCTATATAAATATACTTGACCTGAAAATACATAATTTCATTTATACAGTTACAGTCAGGGGTGGGGGAAAAAACGATTCTTAGATGCATCGCGATGCAGACGATTCTGAATCGATTCTCAAATATCAAAAAAAAAAAATTATATATATTTATAATAACGTAATATTGATGGAACGCGAAAGAGGGTACTCTGAAGCGCTGAAGTGTAGTGGCGCGCGAACAGACACGGGCTGAGGATGACATCCAAACACCCTCCTTGTTAAAAGCTGACGAGTGGCAATATTTTGGCTTATGGAGTTGAAAGGGGAAAGGAGCTGAACAAGAGCCACACTAGTTAAGCAAGCTTTGTAGAATAAAACTAAAATATTTCGGAAAAACACAAAAAATATGAGAAGCCATACGACACGTTTCCACCCAGAGGAGGAAAATCACTCAGCTGTACCGGTCGTTGTTATATTATTAATTTACTACAAATATGCGGCTAGTTCAGAAAGTTTAAAAAAGCATGTTGTAGATGTTTAAAAAAGCATCTACATGTAACGCGGCTAGAGTTTTGACAATGAGTCAATGGGCTCTGTCTAATTCTTTGTTTTTCACTTGTTTATCATCATTTTTTTCCTTTTACCCGTCTTTGTTTTATGAGCAGGTGCCACTCGAGCTGCGGCACAGCGGCAATATTGAGTTTGAACGACGGTACGCGCTGTGCAAGAGAGAGCGAGTGTGATCAGGGCGTACACGCGCGTGATTAACACTGCTAAGACACTCCTCCTGGCTCTGATTGGTTGTTTCTGACCGGGAGCTGTGTATTTCTGCAAATGGCAGTAGGAATTCAACTTTAATTCTTTATTGTTCAGTACTTTGTACTTCTAAAAGCGAAGTACTTTACAACAAAAAAATCGTGAGGTGCCAAGAGATTCCCACCCCTAGTTACAGTGCATAATGGAAACATCTGTAAAAAGTCTTCTGATCTAGATTTATATTACTGTAAGAAAAAATAATTAAACTTACTATTTATTTCTTTAATATTTGATGTTCTTCCTATTCTTTTGTGTTATATATTTGCATGTATGCATGTAACCAGGGCCCCTGGAAACCACAACACATTGCCTGTGTGTGTTTGTGTGTGTGTTTGTGTGTGTGTGTGTGTGTGTGTGTGTAGTTGGTTGTGACCTGGGAGGCAGGAGGCTGGTCTCCACCGCCATGGCCAAACAGTCGTAGAGGAAGGCGATGCGTTTGGGGCTGTGCTGACCATGAATGAAGCGGACAATCCACTGCACACACTGATCATGTGACTCCTGCAGTGACAGCACACACACATTAAACACAATCTCTCTGCCACACCTGTTCTAACTGGCCATCAAAACTACTTTATAGGAAAAATAATATTCGCACAGTTATCACCATCGTAAATCTTTGTCTCAAGTTTTAAAGGGATAGTTCACTGAAATTAATTTTTGATACGTTTTATCTTACCTCAAGGGCATCCAAGATGTAGGTGTCTTTGTTTCCACAGTAGTTTCAATTTTGATATTTTTAGGTCAAACCGTTCTTGTCTGTCAGTCACATAATGCAGGTATGAGGGTCCACCTCAAAGAGCAGCACAGAGAAGTCCAAATTAAACATGATTTAAAGACTCGTAAATGCAAGTACACATTGATGGCCTAAGACACGAAACGAGCGGTTTGTGAGAAAACCAACAGTATTAATATTGTTTTTACCTCTTGTAACCACAGCCACATCCAAGTGATCTGATGGTATGGGCGCTTCGGTCTGCGCAAGCGCTGGAAAGCAGCAGAAGTGATCTCTCGCGCAGATGCTATATATCGATATATTGAAATCTTCCTCCATTGCGATTTCCTGTATATCTAAATATGTTTAGATCTTCACAGTGAAGGATAACACTTCCGAAATCTCTGTGTAAACAATGAGTGACGTACACGCGCGAGAGATCACTTCCGGCGCATGCGCAGACAGAAGCGTCCTCGCCCTCAGATCACTTAGACGTGGCTATGATTACAAGAGGTAAAAACGATATAAAAACTGTTGGTTTTCTCACACAAACCGCTCGTTTCGTGTCTTAGGCCATCAATGTGCGCTTACATTCACGAGTCATTAAATCATGTTTAATTTGGACTTCTCTGTGCTGCTCTTTGAGGTGAACCCCATATACCTCCATTAAATGACTAAAAACAGACAAGAACGGACACCTTGGATGCCCTTGAGGTAAGCTAAAACATCAAAAATTAATTACAAAGTGAACTATCCATTTAAGCTTAAGTATAAAGTCACCATGAAATCAAAATTGACGATTGTTATTTTCCTAGTGAATTTTGCAATGTTTTTTTCAAAAATATTTATAGTGCACATCATTATTGTGTTAAATCCATGTTCCTAATTATCTTGAATCAGAATATCTTCCTCTAGCAGCATCTATTCTCTTCTCTGATGATGATGAGGACGGCAGGGCAACTTGTCAATCAAACCAGATCCACCAATAGCAAACCACAATCGTCCAATCAATTCCTCACGGGCACAATCAAGCCCCGCCCACTCAGGTTTTACTCAGATATACAGGACACAATAGTTAGGAAAAGACTAGCGTAACTAGAGATATTCTGATTCAAGAATATGAGACACATGAATTTAAAACAAAGATGTACAGTTGTGCACACAGATAATTCATTCAGAACATACACTGCAATATCCCAGGGCAGGACTATAACATCACAGAGCTGAACTAACGTTACTGTAACCAGATGAACGAGTGTGAGCTGACCTGGGGCAGGCTGATCCAGTACTGTCTGAAGGCTCCTAAACAGCTCAGGAGTTTATTCCTCTCATCCTCCGCACTGTCCATGAACATGCTGCACACACACACACACACACACACAGCTGACTCTCGTCCCTTCACTGGCTACATTTTAGCGCTAGTTTCAGTCTTTCTTATTTACTCACCCAGCAAACGCCTCTTCTATCACCTCAGTTTTCTAGTGTGAAAAAACAGTTGACAGTTTGTTTATTTTTTATTTGTATTATAATATAATTGTCTGCTAATATAGTATATGGGACAACAATCTTATAATGAATGAAATGACCCACCACTACATCCTCAAAAATACTCTGCAGCTGACTTTCCATGGGGACCGCCATGATCTGAGGAGCTCGTCGTAGGGCAGCGCTTTGTAAACTTACATGTCCATCTTATAGTGTGTGTGTTGAATTCGCGCTGAACTGACGCTCTGATGAATAACAGAAAACAAACGCCAGTGTCCAGACACACCGGAAACTCGAGCGCGCTGAAAACATCCCGGTGTGAACACACGATCACACAAAGCGATGGTTCCGGTTGACACATCAATGAACGATGCATAAAATTCATGCTGAAACGCTTATAAAGGGGCGTTAAAAACTACAACACTCGTTGCATTATTGCCTCTGTACAGATTTATGCTTCAAACCAAGGTTTAAACGTACAATTTTATTTTTTAATTACATGTTTCTCTGAAGATTGTGATTTTTTTAAACTATGCAGTTTGGGAATAAAATTCAAATGATTGTTTTGGCTAACAGAAATGTTTAATTAATTTTATAGCTAATTAGAGATGGTTAAATTATAGACTTTGTTCACTTTACACACACAAGGAATTTGTCTTTGTGACAGGAAGGCGAATATGAGTTCTTTATCAAAATAAAGGTCTCGATGAGCTCTATCCAATGGTGCCAAAAATACATATCTGAGATCAAACTGTATTGAATAAAGCAACAAAAAGGCGTATCTGATGTATTTGACTTTTTTTTTTTATTTGAAAATGTTTTAGAACATTGTCATTGTGTTAATATGCCACACATTTTTTACTTAAATACTAATTCATGTAAGTATGCCTGTGGTTGCAATGTTTGTGGTTTAAGGTTAATAATACAGGTGATTGAAGTGTGGTCAAAATTTTGTTTTGTCTCTCCTGTAAAGTTTGTTAAAAGCCACTTACGCCCCACATACCAACATAGTTTCAGCCCAGATCCAGCCCACATCTGCCACTTGTGGGATGCGAATCTGGCCCACATACAGCGTGGAATGACGCCACATGTGAGCCATGAGCAAAGAAATAAACCAGAACTGGACTTTATCTGAGCCACAAAATCGGTGTATGTTAAACATGGAGTCATCTCAACCTTAATCTCAATCTCAACCCATTCTTGATGTCTGTATGTGCCTATACTTTTTTACAATAAAAAGTAATAGGCTATTACATAATAATATTATTGATATGATATTACTATTATATGTAATGATGTTACATAATAATGTTATAAAGAAAACATAGCCTATGGGTGATTCTCCAATTGGTACTTTTTTCCATCATTAAAAGACATTAAAAAAAGAAGAAAAAAAACTTTCCCCTAAACTTAAAGAGTAACTAAACCCTAAACCAACTTTTTTTTAGATCTGTAAGAATGGATATTTATTAATATCAGTCATTGATTCGAGTAACTTTTGTGACATTTGTCTATAAAGTGTTTTATTTCTACAATATATGGTGTAAAAACGTCTTAGTGCTGCCCTCTTCAGGTTGAACGGTGGCTACTGCGGTTGAATTTTCCTATTGAATGTTCCGCACTTCGTGACGTACGCAGGTTTCAGCTCACCACGCTCTTGGCACGAGCAACTGATTGCTTTGCAAATTGATTAACTGTTTCGAGCATTCGGAAGGCCACACTGGGGACCCCTGCTGGTCAGATTGGAAATGCAACAGTGGAAATGCCACACAAACTCAGGCCAAACATGCATAAAACAACCTTTTACAAACCATTGCAAACGCTTTCTTGAAAGTAAAACCTTTCAAATGAAATTAGCTAACCACCCTTTAGGTGAGTCTTGAACGGCAGGTTGGCTTTATCAGCAGAGCATGAGCTCATACAAGGTGTCCGTGGTAAAGAAGAAGCCTCCTCGTCGGGGAATCGAACCCTGGTTTTCCGTGTGACAGGCGGAGATAGTGGTACGGCATTGTATGCTCAGCCATTGAGAAGTCACTTAAAGGGTTAGTTCACCCAAAAAATTAAAATTCTGTCAGTATTTAGTTACTCACCCTCATGTTGTTCAACCCCGTAAGACCTTCGTTCATCTTCTCAACACAAATTAAGATATTTAAGATATTAAGATCACTCCTGCATACAGTCCATAGGCTTCTTGAGGGAATGACTCTTGCTGTCCTCGAAAAGTCATTAAAGACATCGTTAAAATAGTCCAAGTGACTACAGGGGCTCAATCTAAGGTTTATCAAACGACGAGAATACTTTTGTGCGCAAAAAAACAACAAAAATAACGACTTTATTTCAACTATTCGTTTATTTCTCTCTCTGCGCGAGTCAGGTTACTAGTTTAATAGCGTAAGCTTCTGTTATTGTACGTCACACGCATCACATTACCAGTGTCGGCCAATAGTGAGCCTACGTGTGACGTAGCTTTACGCAATCACACTACGTTAACTGACTACAGGCCCATGGAGAAGGAAGTGAATAGTTGAAATAAAGTCGTTATTTTTGTTGTTTTTTTGCGCACAAAAGTGTTCTCGTCGTTTGATAAAGTTAAGATTGAGCCCCTGTAGTCACTTGGACTATTTTAACGATGTCTTTAACGACTTTCCGATGCCAGCAAGAGTCATTCCCTCAAGAAGCCTATGGACTAGTATGCAGGAGCGATCTTAATATCTTAAATATCTTAATTTGTGTTGCGAAGATGAACGAAGGTCTTACGGGGTTGAACAACATGAGGGTGAGTAAATACTGACAGAATTTTCATTTTTGGGTGAACTAACCCTTTAATACTGGACATGCTTTCCATTATGGGCGTTATTGGTATTTAAGCCTTTCATTTTGGCCAAAGGGGGGCAAGAAGAGGAGCTCTCCCTCTCCTATGGAGGAATCCACCTGCAATCCAAGGAGATGAAGGGTTTGTTCATTTAGCCTCCAGGAAGTTCCTAAAAATCCCAGGAATTCTAGACACTGGTTCAGAGACATCCTCTTAGACAGGGTTTGCCGGTCATCTGGTGATGGGGCAGATTCTTATTACATCTGCTCCATCCTCTAATGGAAATGGCTATATTATTGTTTTAACAAAAAAAAAAGACAAAAAGCTAGGTGGGGGGAGCCTGCACCACAAATTACCCTTGCGGAGCATGGTGGCATGTGTGTGATAGCACATTGTCCCAACGTCTCATGGTTACAGCTCGAGTTTCTCTTCATTCACGCATAAATCTTTCGCCTTTTACTTAAGATTTCCGTTGAGGGGAGCATAAACATGCATAAAACAAACTATAACAAACGCTTTCTTGAAAGTAAAGCCTTTGGAATGGATACACTATACTAACGAGGACTGGCCGTTACAGCGGTGTCCCTGAGCGGTACGGCGTTGCATGCTCAGCCGGTGAGAAGTCACTTAATACTGGACACTTAATACTCCCATTATGGGAGTTATTGGTGTTTAAGCCTTTCATTTTGGTCAAGGGGGGCAGGAAGGAGTGGAAAAAATCCACTGAAAAAAACTGTAGCAAAGACCATCCACAGTTTCCGCCCAGTTTCGAACTGGGGACCTTTCGCGTGTGAGGCGAACGTGATAACCACTACGCTACGGAAACATGCCCTGTAAGTGCAGACAAAAAATCTTCTGGTGCAGGCTTGTTAAAAAGTGTACAAAGGAAAAGTGAGCTGAGCCCTCCTGTTGTGGCAAACAGTTCTGCCATAAGCCATGACAGAACATGACATTCTTCAAGCTATATTGAGGAATTGCAATCCTCGCATTGCCAGCATCTTGAGAGGGACGGTATCCACAATAGAGGAACTAGTTCACTGGTGGAACGGGACCTGAACGAGGAGAGAGTTTTCTGGAGGCAGAGGCAAGCTGAACAAGCAACTTTGCGTGGAGGAGGAAAGTCTGATCGAGGGAGGCCGAACAACCATAACATTGCTATGTATGCTAAATCCTCCATGTCTACTCTATTTTGGAGGCAATTATTGATACAGGTAGTACTTATTCTTTGATCCAAGAGTCTTCATGGAATCAAATCAAACGTGTAGGGGAGGTTTTACAGTCAAGTAAGGGTCAGACATTTTCTCTAGAAACATGCACTTGGTAAAGTTTCTCTGCAGTGTATAGTGTATGGCAAAGTTTATTCTTTAAAGGGTTAGTTCACCCAAAAATGAAAATTAAGTCATTAATTACTCACCCCCATGCTGTACCAACCCCGTAAGACCTTCGTTCATCTTCGGAACACAAATAAAGATATTTTTGATTGAATCTGAGAGCTGGATCACTCTTCCATAGACTGCCTGAGGGACTGCCTCTTGACGGCCCATAAAGTCATTAAAAGAAAAGGTTTAAATATTCCATGTGCCTACAGCGGCTCAATTATAAGTTTATCAAGCGATGAGACTACTTTTTGTGCGAAAAAAAAACGTAAATAACGACTTTATTCGACTTTCCATTACTTCCTTATGGGCGCATGCGCGAGAACTGAGACGAGACCGTTCTTCTTCGACTACTTTTTGTTACCGGCTGCTCACCGCTTAGGAGTTTTACCGCCCCCTACCATATAAGATGACGTACTGCTTGTAAACAGAACGTTTTGCGCCTCCGGCTATATCAGTACGTCATCTTATATGGTAGGGGGCGGTAAAACTCCTAAGCGGTGAGCAGCCGGTAACAAAAAGTAGTCGAAGAAGAACGTCCTCGTCTCAGTTCTCGCGCATGCGCCCATAAGGAAGTAATGGAAAGTCGAATGTAGGAGCCAAATAGTGTCTGAGTTTGTCGGGCCACTAGATGGTGCTGCTCACTCAACTATATTTGTGAGGGTTCAACAGGTGGTGTGGAGTGTTGACCCGGAAGGGCAAAAAGTTTTTGACCGCTACGGCGGAGTTCTGTAAACGCTGTTGTCTGTAACGAATAGAGATCTTTGAGACTTTGTGGATGTAATGCACCTGTGTGGAGGACAATAAATACGGTAGTAACACACAACAAGATGCCTCTGGAACTGTAACTTACAACATGTTTATCAGTAGCCGCCAAGCGTGTCGTAACACGTAGCTACGGGACAACATCTACAGCGCAGTATCAGACTGGCTGTTATACTGTCAAAAACTTGCCTGTTTGGACTTTGTTTGAACTTCGACGACTTTTGAACGGAACGGCAAAGACGTCGTTGGACGACAGTGTGGCGCGAATATGCGAGGCGTCTGTTAGCTGGGCTAGCACTACTGAGCTGAGTTTCGAGGTGGACCGCGGCAGCCGAGGAACCGACGGGGGGC